TGCTTAACATTTTATAGTTTATTTTCAATTGGAAACATATTTTTTATCTATATTTTCAAGTGAAAATGGACATCGCTACTGCACGATATTAGGTTGCCAGTACGAGGGCTTGAATTTGCGGCCCTGTCCATAAGAGACAGATTTTTACATTCTCATTCTCGCAATAATTCGCATTCACTAATGATTTTTGGTAGATTTTGGCCATTCTTGTAAACAAATATATCAATATGTGTTTCCAAAATGTTCACATACAATTTATATAAAAAGAACATCAGCATTCAATTATTAAGTTTTTACTTTTTTATTCATGTTTTTTGGACGTACATTTTCATTAATTATCTTTATGTCTGAATTTTTTTTCATCTTCTCATTCCTATTTGTTCACAGCAATATTTGGTAGGTTTAATTTCTCGAAATTTTACATACAAATCAATATTTAAATCGTCGTTAAGTTTTTATTACGACTGTTCATGTTTTTTTCGAAAGTATTTTTTCTAAAATTCTCCTAAAAATCTAAACTTTTGTAGTCTTTTGGGGTCTTTTGCTGACACAATAATTGTTATCAAATGTTTATGTATTTCAGATTTATTACTCTCTAATTCCTACAAACCTCTACTTATATACTCTATATTCTCTACAATACTCTATTTTATATACAAAATTAACATTTTTAATTGTCTTTAAGTTGTTCCCTACTTATGTGTTATTTCTACATGGTACTAAAGAGCATTAAAGTTTTTATAATAAACTTTGTTACAAAAATTCATCATTCATGTATAATTTTCATCAATTTTATTGATAGCTATGTATGTAATAGATAGTAAATAAATCCTTCATCATATACCAATAGAAATTAATAATAAATCATAATTTGTATTTTAAAAGATTTGTTTCATCTAGTAAAACATTTTATTTAAGCTGAATTAAATACTGGTTATCATAACTTTATATTACAATAATTTATCGTTCATATATAATTTTAAGCAAAAAAGTGCCAAATTTGGCACCGTGTACCAATAAGAATTAACTTAAAATCATAAATTGTATCCCAAAAGACTTGATGAATTAGTAAAATAAATTAGGCTTCTTGATTTAAAATGCTTTTTGAAAGCTATTACTTCATGAATATATATAGTAATTTTTATGATTATTATTATTATTTATCAGCAATTATTTGTCCCATCTCTATGTGATGAATTTTCTTATTACACGTTCTGGAACAATGATGAGTTTTGAATTGATGCCGCAAAGTCGGGCAAGGGCTATTTTCACTTATTGCTGTCTACGTTTTCATTGAAAAACTGTTTGTCACTATGCTTGAATCAGTCTGCTCCAGGTTGGTATCGAACTTGGGACTTCTGATTGAAATGCCATAGCTCTAAACCAATTAACCCACGGAAAAGTCATATATATAAAATGAACTACAAATTTATTTATTATAAAACAATATTTACCAGATCATCTGAAATCTCGTTATAATATATTTTTAACTTTCTTTAGTACATATTCGCTCAGTACACTTATATCGCGTACAACTTGCAATTTGTAAAAGCACAACAGACACGATAAACAAACAAGGTACTTTAGATAAAGACAGAATTTATAAGGACATGTTCTTTTATCTTAATATTGACAATAATATTATATTATAATAGCTAATCGCGTAATAAAATCTTTTATTGGCAATATATGGCAGATAGTCCATAAGTTGTTGACCACCACAATTTCTTACTCTAGCAGATCAGACATGTTTAGTATAAAAACTTGTTTGAGAAGATAACGAAAATTGATATAGAATATTTTTTATGGAATTACGTTTGTCGGGAATCAGATTTAGTGTGACTATGATATTGATTTAAACTAGTGGTGTATGGCTTCGTGCCTTGAGGCAAATTGCTGGAACTTTCCTGCTGGAATTAAATTTAAAAAATCTGGATTATTTTCGATAAAAAAAATTTGGAAATAAAAAAAAATGGAAAGGAAAAAAAATACCAAAAACAATCGTTTCGTCAACACAAGCTGAAAGTTTTTTGAATTATTCAAATCAGATGCTTATTTTTCTCAAAAACTTCCATTTTTAGCACATTTAGCTCCGTGTCTCCGAAACGATTCGACCTGCCTTTGCCAAAAACAAAACACAATTTCTCCTCATCATTGCGAATTGAATGTTTTTTAGATCATTTAGATCGGATACTCCGTTCTCTCAAAAACTCGATTTCTATTTTCTGTATTCCTTGCCCTATAACTCCCAAAACGGCTGGACCTGCTTTCGCCAAAAACTAATCAGCACATCTCCCTATCAATAGGAATCGAATGTTTTTTGAACCACGCAAATCGGTTGATCCGTGCGCCCAAAAACGTGGACGAAAAATTGTATCCATACATACATACACACACATCCATTTTTTTTAAGGTATTCCAAAATGTTCAGAAACCTTCAAAACGTGTAGATATGCAAAAATTTTGCAATTTCAATTTTTGGACGATTACAATAACTTACCCTACGAGAAGTTAGAAAATAATCATTGTGAACGTAGAATAGATTAATAGAAATGTTCATGAACTCTCCTGCAATAAATGACACGTATGATAAGTGTTTTTCATACATTATAAGGTAAAAGACCCAGTTATTGACCCTGGCCCAGTTTCTGACCTTTTCAACTTTTTTTGGAATAAATTAAAAAACTATACATTTAATGTGAAAATAAATTTTTTCCTAATTGACAGTAATTTATTCTATGCCTCATTAATGTCAATTAAAAAAATATAAAAAATATTAACTAAATAAAAAAAAATTTTTAAACCAAAAGTGACTGTGGAAGCCATTTTTTAGCTTTAGTCTAAACAGTTTATGTAAGGAGCTACGACAATTGAGTTCGTGCACTAATAATGATGTAAGTACGAAAATCTAACTAAAAATATACAAATAAGTCA